TTAATAGTTGAAAAAACGTTTTGAAACGCCTACATCCATGTCTAAATATGAAGCAACTGTATATGTGAGTGATACAATTGATTGGAGATGTATCTGGAAATTGGCGTACGTTACCACAATGGAAGAAAAACTGCGCATTTTTCAGTTCAAAATATTGCATTGAATTTTGGCAACCAACAATTATCTTTTCGAAAATAAAATCCGAGTGGACAATTGTTGTAAATATTGTAAACAAAACGAAACAATTGAACATCTCTTCTGGGAATGTACAACCACAATTTCGTTTTGGAAATTATTTCAAAACTATTGGGGGGCTATACCAGGAAGTGATGATATTGTTCTAAGTTGTGAACGTATTCTCTTTGGATTTCCCCAAAAATGTATAGTATTAAACCATCTTATTTTAATAGGTAAATATGTTTTATATATCTGCCGGTTTACAAATGTAACGCCTTCTTTTGATTATTTTATAAAGATTGTCAAAGAAAAGAAATCTATTGAAAAAAATGTATTGAACAAAACAAATTACGTTTTAAAATGGGATGCGTTGGCATCGTTGTTGAAATGATCATCCCCTGTACTAAACTTTTTTGTAATGTTTTGTATGTCGTGTCTGTGACGTTTTTACTGTTATGTGAACATTATTAGAAAATAAAATTGTATTTGAAAAAAATATATATATATATTCTGAGGGCCACCTGACGCTTTAAAAGTTCTATTAAACTTCATTTAATTTATATGACCATCGGTTCAACACATAACAATTGGACACTGCATAAAGTAGCATCGGTTCACTGACTTCCCATTGATAAGTAACATTTTAAGACTTGGTTGCTGTATCTCATACAGCTCCCAGGTACATTGAGGGCTGCCGCCAAAATTCTAGGGACAGCGTAAAATGAGTGAAGACTTCATGTCAGCGTAAATATTTCTGATGTAGTGTACCTCCATGGTTCTAAATTTGTATTAAACTGGTAATATATATATATATATCTTATTCGTTCATATTACAAATTAAAATACTTGTTACTGAACCTGTTTTATTCCTATAGATTTGATACGCTAAAACTGTACAGAAAATAGTTTACAGTGTCTTTTCCAATCTCAGATACGCACTCTGGAACAAAACAACGGTGAATTGACTACGAGTCTTAATGGAGAACGTCAGAAGTCGTCTGTGCATATCCAGTCTTTGGAAGTTAAACTGCAGGAAATACAGGAGAAGTTTATCCACAAACTGCAAGAATTGGGAAGCGGCAAAGAACCGCCAATCAGAGCAGAGATAGAGGCACTGAAGGCAATGCTTGCACAAGAAGAAAAAAGGTAAGGTGGGGGAGGGGAACATCAGGTATCCTCCCTGGGGTTACAGTCATGGTAGGGACAGGGAATGCATTTGTGACAAGGATTACATCAGAGGTACATTGGGGTTGCACCAGGACAATACAGCATAACATTGACAAATGAGAGGAAACATGTTGAGCCATACATACAAATATTTCAAAATTTAATAAAAGTTGACAACAACACCATCACTGATGATTTTGAAAATAGTTGCGAAGATCGATTTTTTCTTTTACCTTCATTTCTTTCCTCCGGGATCGATCCTGGTGAGTGACCATAAAAACATAACTATTTTTGCCATACAATATTTTTGAGTTAATCAACATAAATTTTAATTGAACGTAAATATCTTCTCCTTGTTCAATGCAGGTTGGAGACTGTGATTGGACAGCAGACCTCTTGGAGCACACAGGGAAGGAGCAATGTAGGCTCAGTTGTAATCTATACAGGCAGCAAGTCTTCTACAGTGAATGATAGTGGAAATAACAATAACCCGTCAGTATTAACTAGGTACAATGTGTTTGCAGGTCAGTCACTATTATTTATATAAAATACTGTCAGCTATTAAAATATGGAATTAATGTTGAATAAATTTTCTGTAGATCGTTTTATTAAACCTCGAATTACAAACGTGGTTTTGCAAAAGTGGGCGTGGTTTCTAAAATATATGATGATCATTTCTGTAACTCGTTCTTTTCGCAACTCAATGTTCGTAACTCGATTTCCGTAACTCGAACAATTCAGTATCTCAGCAAAATCACGATACAAGCGTACACATGGCGTTCGCGTGAAATTAACATAATATGCGCGCATTGATATATTGTATTGTTGTCAGAAACTCAAGATGGATTACAAAATTGTTTGAACAAATTATCAAATTACTGTAACCAATGGAATCTTGTTGTAAACATAAATAAAACAAAAGTAATGGCTTTTAAAACTGGTAAAAGAATGATAAAAAATCTTAAATTCACACTAGATGACAAAAACATAACAGCAGTAACAGAATTGTTCAACTTGGATATAATGATTACACCTAATGGGAAGTCTAAATTAGCACAATCAATGATAAAGAATAAAGCAATGAAGGCGTTATTTAGTGTCTGACATTCAATACTGAATCATAAAATGATATCAACTTCATTATGCTTGAAACTGTTTAACCAGTTAATAACACCAATCATAATGTATGGTGCTGAAATTTGGGCTGACGAGATATCTAATGACAACAATATGTTAGAGCAAGTGGGTAGTCAGTTTTATCGCTTTATACTTGGTGACAGTAAACTGAAACCAACTACTGGTGTAGAAGCAGAGTTAGGAAGATTTCCAATTAGAATAAAAATAACTCTAGCAAAAACTAAATATTGGTATAGACTTAGCATGTTTACTGACAATAATATTCTGAAATGTGCATTAAATGAAAACAAAGCAATTAAATCAAAGTGGATACAATATTATTGGTCACGAGGAACTGGAGGAAGCAAAGGAACAGCACAATGTAGATAATATTAGCCAATTATCAAACATCATGAAAGTGAAATTAAGAGACCAATACAAACAGTCTTGGAAGGAGCAGCTAAACTCGTTCACTAGTAGTAGAAGACAAAAATGAAGGCAATAAACTTAGGACATATAAACAATTTAAAATAAACTATGAACTTGAAAGTTATCTGAATGAAATAAATAACTTTAGCTTACGTAGAATGTTCATGAATGAATCAAAATTCAGGCTTAGTGATCACATTTTGTAAATTGAACTGGGGAGAAGGGGAAAACCAAAACTACCAGCAACAGAAAGAGTCTGTAAAAATGTGATCAAGGCGATATTGAAGATGAAAAACATTTTGTTTTGAGCTGCTCACATTTTGAAAATGAAAGAAAAATCCTCCTGAAAACTTTGAAATTACCTCAAGTGAAAAGAACAAAGACATAATATCCTTAAAAATTATGAAAAATAACATTGCTCTGTCTCTATATCTTAAAAATACCATATACAAAGCACCGCCTGTGTAAACCCCTGGGTAGGGAGAACCTTTACTTTGTATTATTAGGGTTTCGAGCCCTATGGGTCGAAACCCTTTTGTAATTGCTATGTTTATTATTATTTTTCCGCCGTTTTTTGTAACCACTGTAACTTGAAAAATAATGCTGCGATTGACTTGCCATTTCGCATTCTGATAAAGGGCCATGAGTTGTGGTGCATATCCCAAAACCAGCCATGTAGGTCACATGACCTGGCAGCCATCTTAGGTAGAACACAAACCGGAAGTGCTCAATTGCACCACTTTCTGAGGGTCTAGGAACTTCGGGTTTTTTTGTGTGGCATCATTGGCTCATGTCTAACAAATATCAGCAATAAAATCTTTAGCGGTCATGTGACCTTGGCCGCCATATTGGATATCAAAAATGGCTCATTCATGTGATTATACATTTGCTTTGCAGCACCTATGGCCATAGCTCTACAAAGTGACTGAAGCAGATTTTTGAAAAATGGCTTCCTTTGGCAGCCATCTTGGATTTAATAAAAAGTGAAAGTACGCTATAACTCATGAACAATTTGCCAGATTTAAACCAAAGTTGGCATACTACATCCCTTCAATAAGATGATTATGTGGTCATAAAAATATTTCCCATGATTCAAGTGGTTTTGGCGGCCATGTTGAATTTATCACAAAAATGCCAAAAAACTCAAAAAATTATCTTCTTAAAAACTGCTTGCTTGTTTGAAAAACAATTCGGCATATAGTATCTCTGTTGATAGCTTCACAAAGTGACTGAAGCAGATTTTTGAAAAATGGCTTCCTTTGGCAGCCATCTTGGATTTAGTAAAAAGTGAAAGTACGCTATAACTCATGAACAATTTGCCAGATTTAAACCAAGTTGGCATACACATCCCTTCA